CGAAGGGGAGAAACGTGCTAAGAGGAAGGCACGCTTGGCAAATCCACACCATGATCAACTCCCGCCCAGAAACCAATGTCCCCACTGTGGAAGGACGTGTGGATCCAGAACTGGCCTCCACAGTCACCTACGGACTCATTGTTAAAACCGTGTTTATGGAAGACATTCTTACTCAGCTATGAGTGACCACCAAAGAGAGAGAGAAAGCTTACTGGGAAATGATGTATAATGAATTGAAAAGGATGTCTAAAATAACGCTTGTAAAAAAACACCAAAAAACCTCCTGAAGCTTTTCTTTTGAGAATTATAGGGACAGAACTACCTAAATAGTATAGACATTTATTTATGTATGCTACTACAGTGGCAAGAAAGCTACTTGCCCCAAAATGGAAAGAAGCAGAAGTCCCAGCAAAGGAAGAATGGATACAAAAACTTATGGAATAGGCAGAAATGGCGAAACTTACAGGAAGAATAAGAAATCAAGATAACACAAACTTTTTAATATAAAAGAATGGAAACAGTTTATTGACTATTTACAGATAAATTGTAAACAGATAAGAACATTGGCAGGATTATTGTCGTAGCAGTTTTATACGAGTATATATTTAAAGCAGATGAAAATTAAATGAGCAAATTTAGTTAATTTGGATATGCAGAAGTTATGAAAAATACATTTAAGGAACTGCAGAAAGAGGTGAAAGGAAGTCAAGTTTTGAAATGTTAAAATGATTGTCAAGTTGTAGTTGTTTAGTTGTTTAGTCGTGTCCGACTCTTCGTGACCCCCTGGACCAGAGCACGCCAGGCACTCCTGTCTTCCACTGCCTCCCGCAGTTTGGTCAAACTCATGCTGGTAGCTTCGAGAACACTATCCAACCATCTTGACCTCTGTCGTCCCCTTCTTCTTGCACCCTCCATCTTTCCCAACATCAGGGTCTTTTCCAGGGAGTCTTCTCTTCTCAGGAGGTGGCCAAAGTACTGGAGCCTCAGCTTCAGGATCTGTCCTTCCAGTGAGCACTCAGGGCTGATTTCCTTCAGAATGGAGAGGTTTGATCTTCTTGCAGTCCATGGGACTCTCCAGAGTCTCCTCCAGCACCAGAATTCAAAAGCATCAATTCTTCGGCGATCAGCCTTCTTTATGGTCCAGCTCTCACTTCCATACATCACTACTGGGAAAACCATAGCTTTAACTATACGGGCCTTTGTTGGCAAGGTGATGTCTCTGCTTTTTAAGATGATTTGTTGGCAAGGTGATGTCTCTGCTTTTTAAGATAGTGAAATGTATAAACGTGAAAAGCATAAATAAATTTATTTTTAAAAAGAAGTGGGAAGGAGCAGTGAAGGGAGACTCAGAGGCTGAAAAAGGAGGCTGGCGTGGGCCTGGAGGCAAAACCACAGCCACAATTTCACCCTGGACTGTGAGCCAGACCCTCAATAATTTCCTGTGTTCTGTTCCAGCCTTATAAAGAACCTTCTTGCCGCTGCAGTGCAGTTAAGTCCACACAGTCAGAGCATCGTTTGAAGCGTTTCCTGTATTAGGGGGGCTGACGTAATTCTCCGCAGCCTTTTCCACCCGTAAAGCGCTTGAGGTTCAAAAGCAGATCCCAACATGCCTCCTCCGTTTAACGAATATTCCTGGGTGCGCGATTTCCCTTTTCCGCTGCCCTGTGAAGTTTTGACATCAGGGCTTCACTGTACTTTTTACAGCAGCTGCTGCAAACATTTTTGTTCAGACAAGCCTAGCCAGGCATGAGAACATAAGAGCCCGCAGGATCAGGCCAAGGGCCCAGCTAGTTCTCACAGTGGCCGGATTTTTGCGACTGGTATTCACAAACATTGCTGTCTCCAAAAGTGGAGACAGGACATTGCTGTCATGGCTAGCAGCCACTGTGTTGAGCCCGGGGGTAACCCGTGCAACGCGGTCCAGGTCTGGTCCAGAATCCAAGGGTTCCACGAGGAGTCAGTCCGACACGGCCAAGGCAGGACATGAAGCAGGAAACCAGGCAAGGACAGGTACAGGATCTCAGGCATGATCTGGCATACAGCAATGTTGCTCCCACAATCTGGGGTGGGGTCCAACAGCCTTTTATCTCTGACAGGGTAACGGCCGATCCTGATCCCCCGCGACTCACCTCCCTGTCTCGCCCGAAGGCAAGCACTCCTCCTGCAAGTACTCAGGTCTGTCCTTCTCTCAGACCTCAGTCTCTGCAGCTCGGGAGACGTCGGTGGGTTACTAGACCCAGAGGCCGCCTCAGCCTCCCCTGACCCAATTGGTAGTGGAGCAGCTGTAAGTGATGGCCCAGCTGGAGGCAACGAGGTCATCCCCGCATCTGGAGCCAGGGCAGGCTCAGGCCCCTGACTCGACCCAGCTGGTGTTTGCTGCAGGGGAACCTGTGCAGACCGGGGCTCTTCAGGATCAGGCCCCAGACTTGGTTCAGGTGATGCCTGAGGCAAAGGATCCAGTGCAGACTGAGACTCCTCTGGTACCGAGTCCGAGTCCCAGGCCATCACAGCCACTGACCATCACTGCCTCCTGTGGAAGTGAGTTCCATAATTTGACATTCCATGGGGAACATTGATATATATGTTTCAATGTCATGGACCGGTTGGACGCAGAGGAATGGTAGAACGGACCAGTTGGGGAACCTCCAACGGAAGGTGTTATGTACTGAAGTTCTCACCCTGGGCCAGCAGGGGGATACTGTAGATAGTTATGCAAATGAAGGATTGAAAGTGATGATCAGTGATTGGATAGTTTGTATGCAAATGAAGGATCGAAAGTGACGTTCAGTGATTGGATAGTTTTAGAAAGTTGCAACAGTTAACGTTGTTCTGGAGCTCTATATAAGCAGGCTGACTGAACTCTTCAGTTCAGTTCTGTTCCAGCTTACAAATAAAGAGCTGCTTGGGAAGAATTGCTGTGTCGTCTGATATGTTCACCCGGGTAATAGGACTTGGTGAGCTGGGAGAGTCTGTAGCAGAGAGAAGTCCAGAATCGGAGGCAGAAGCTGAAACAGGCGAGAGGGACAAGAGAGGTCAAGAGGCAGAGATGGGTGGGATTTTACAACTGCAGCCAGAGGGGCTGGAAGACAAAGAAAGAGAGATCTCTCTAGAACAGGCATGGCCAAACTTGGCCCTCCAGTTGTTTTGGGACTACAACTCCCATCATCCCTAGCTAACAGGACCAGTGGTCAGGGATGGTGGGAATTGTAGTCCCAAAACATCTGGAGGGCCAAGTTTGGCCATGCCTGCTCTAGAATGGCACTGAGACAAAAAGACACAAGGCATGATGGAGACCAGGAATAACCAAGGTGGACATACTATTTGGCAAAGACGCAAAGGAATAATTGGTTAAAATAAATACCTCACACAGGAAGAAGAAAGGAGAACTTCACTAGCGGACTCGTAAATGATTAAATGTGCTAATACAAATTGAAATTAAAACATTGTAGCTGTGGCATAAGGGATTGTTATTAAGATTGGATCGTAATTAAAGGGAATTATTAAACCTTGAAGGCTAGCACGTGGGGGGCCACCTAAATTTTATAATTGGCTATTTGATTGACTTGTATTCAAATTGGTATTGTAATTCGGTATTGATATAATAAGGCTTATATTGGGTTTTTGTAATTGAAAACAAATAAAATTTATTTCTAAAAAAGAGAGAGGCAGAGATGAGTTAGGCTGGTGAAGAGTCACAGGTGTCTTCCCCTCCTGCTGTGACAAAATTCCCCCTTGTCTCCCAGGGCCATAAGAGGCATGAAGAGCGAGGAGCAAAGGCCAGAATGCAGGCACAGTCTCCAATTGCTTGGGAAAAACCCTGGAGAGGAGATGACTTAGGCAGCTGTGGGGACCTTCAGTCTCGGGAACTGCTTCATGGGGGCAAGACCTACCGGGATGGACTTGCTATGTTCATTAGGCCTGACACTCTGCCAGGTCCTTGCAGATTGTATTTTTGCCAATCAAGAGTTAACTCCCATGTTCATGGTGTGATTTACTGCTAGCTTGCTTCTGACATTCAATCTGTTTTCAGTTTATTGCCGGGTTGTTTTGTTCCTCCTGAATGTTTTAAGGACTTGTTTTTCACTGACGGTATCATTGTTTTGTTCTCTTTGTTAAAACCACTTTGAGGGAGTTGCTGTTTTTTACCAATCACATGGCGTATAAATCCTATGAAATAAAACCCATAACATTTTAAGCCTCGTGCGCTATACAATTGCTAAACTGTTGTTGCTGTTTAGCCGTTTAGTCGTGTCCGACTCTTCGTGACCCCCTGGACCAGAGCACGCCAGGCACTCCTGTCTTCCACTGCCTCCCGCAGTTGGGTCAAACTCATGCTGGTAGCTTCGAGAACACTGTCCAATCATCTTGCCCTCTGTCATCCCCTTCTCCTTGTGCCCTCCATCTTTCCCAACATCAAGGTCTTTTCCAGGGAGTCTTCTCTTCTCATGAGGTGGCCAGAGTATTGGAGCCTCAGCTTCAGGATCTGTCCTTCCAGTGAGCACTCAGGGCTGATTTCCTTCAGAATGGATCGGTTGGATCTTCTTGCAGTCCATGGGACTCTCCAGAGTCTCCTCCAGCACCAGAATTCAAAAGCATCAATTCTTCGGCGATCAGCCTTCTTTATGGTCCAGCTCTCACTTCCATACATCACTACTGGGAAAACCATGGCTTTAACTATACGGTCCTTTGTTGGCAAGGTGATGTCTCTGCTTTTTAAGATGATTGTCGAGTTAGTCGAGTTACCTGAAAAGCATAAATAAATTTATTTTAAAAAAGAAGTGGGAAGGAGCAGCGAAGGGAGACTCAGAGGCTGAAAAAGGAGGCTGGCGTGGGCCTGGAGGCAAAACCACAGCCACAAATTCACCCTTCTTTATGGTCCAGCTCTAACTTCCATTCATCACTACTGGGGAAACCATAGCTTTTACTATACGGACCTTTGTTGGAAAGGTGATGTCTCTACTTTTGCTAAACAGTGTGTTGTTATTCTTGTTTCTTTCCAGGTCCGTGCCTTTATGAACCATTTTGACCCGGGTGTGGATTACAAGGAAGACCTTCAGGCAATGCGGTTCCTGTCCTTCAACTCCATCATTGACCCCTGGGTGTTTGCCATCCTCCGGCCCCCCATCCTGAGGGTGATACGCTCTGTCCTCTGCTGCCGGATGCCCCTAAAACCACTAACTACGGACAGGCAGAGGCCCCCCTTTGCCAAACCAAAGCCCATCGAGCAGGCTGGCATTTGCAGGCAGTGAACGGTCTCCTGCTTTTGGAGAAGAAGTTTGAAAGTCCATCTCTGGACAGTTGCTCAGGGTAATTCCAGGAGAATGGACTGGAATTCTCCATTCCCATGTTGGCATGCCTGCTGGACATCGATGTATGTGCTGTCCCGCATTTCCCTAGGGCGATTGTCTGAAATGACTCCATCCTAGACCTGTAGAGTTTGAAGGGACTTTTAGGAATCCTAGTCTACTCCAATGTTCTGCCATTGGGGAATCACAGCTAAAGACTTCCTGGCATAGGTAGGTAGCCGTGCTGGTCTGCCATAGTCAAAACAAAATTTTAAAAATGGACATAAATCTGACATCAGGAATCACAAGACAGAGAAACCAGTAGGAGAAGACTTCAATCTCCCGGGACATTCTATACAAGATCTCAAAAGTAGCTGTCATATTACAAAATAATTTCAGAAATAGACTGGAAAGAGAAGTTGCTGAATTGCAACTTATTACCAAACTTAAAACCATGGAGAGACCTGGTCTGGATAGAGACACTGGATTCTTATCTCATTATACATGATAAAGCTATTTTTGGCCATCTCATCCCTTACTTTTTCCTGTAAGACCAATTGCAGTCGTTAACAGTCGTCAACTGGTTTACCACACCTCAGCCAATCACCCATTCCCACCACCCTTCTGAGTAATACCCCTCCCCACCCTCTCACGATATATAAGGGTCCGGTGACTTCTGTTTCAGTGTATCTGAAGAAGTGTGCATGCACACGAAATCTCATACCAATAACAAACTTAGTTGGTCTCTAAGGTGCTCTAAGGAATTTTTTTATCTTGTTTCGACTTCCTGACAGATGGCCATCCATCCTAACTGTTCACCAGGAAATCCTCAGATGGCAACATTGGAGACTGTTCAGATTGGAGACAACATCAGATCATTGGTCCATCTGGCTGATTATTGTCTTTTCTTCCTGGAATTTTCTCTTCTGGATTTCAGGCAGGGGTCTTTTCTATCCTCACCGGGAGATGCCTAGGATTGAATTTGGGGGATTTTTGCATGCTCTGATGCTTCGATGGGTCAACCTTACGTTGCACTGAGACAGAGGGAGAATTATCTCCCCAAGGAACCATTATTTGTTTGCAAAACACTCTGTAACCAAAGGTGTCATCTTTGCACGTTTCTTCTCTCGGATGAAGGCCGGGGCCAATGCAAAGAACATGATGCACACTTTATCAATGGCTGTTGAATGCAATTGGATATTTATCTTCAAGGGGTTTTCTCCCTCCTGTTTGCTTTGACTTCAGATGCTATATGTCAGTAAAACTGTGTCTGGTCGTTGGTCAATGTGGTAAGATCCGTATTAGCTTGCGTTATCTTATATGAACCATTAGCTTTGTCGTCTACGCACTGAAATCAACATCTTCAAATCCAGAAGGAAGATGCTCTTACCTGAAGCAGGTAGAGGCATAATTTACTAGTGCAAACTATGCACAAAAATGGCCAGTAAGTGTGGAAAGCAGAGAGAAAGCAGAATGTGGAGACGTTAGCTTCTGAGAGGTTGGGTCTTTTAGTTGAATTGAATTGAAATTGAAAGACTTTATTGTCACTTGTACAACTTGTATACAGTGAGGTTATATTAGCACCCCCCCACTCAGCTCTCTTAGTCTTAATTCCCCTCGTTTACTGATGCACACCCACCAAACCCGAAAGTCTGTTGCCCTGTTGTTCTCTTTTCATTCAGCAGCCTAACAGCCCATGGATAGAAGCTGTTCTTTACCCCGTTGGTGCGACTAATCATACTTCTATATCTTCTGCCCGAGGGCAAGAGATCAAGAAAGTGCTGGCCAGGGTGTGAATCATCTCCTGAGGCAATGTTCTTCTGCTATTTCATCCAGCGGATTCACAGGACAGCCCATAATATCTTGTGCTGTATTCACCACCCTCTGTAGGCACTTCCTATCAGATGATGTCAAACCAGCATACCACACTGTGATGCAGTATGAAAAGACAGTTTCTATTGTGGACCGGCAGAAGGAGATCATCAAATGTTGATTGACATCTTGTTGTTGTTGTTTAGTCGTTTAGTCGTGTCCGACTCTTCGTGACCCCATGGACCAGAGCACGCCAGGCACCTCTGTCCTCCACTACCTCCCGCAGTTTGGTCAAACTCATGCTGGTAACCTCGAAAACACTATCCAACCATCTCGTCCTCTGTCGCCCCCTTCTCCTTGTGCCCTCCATCTTTCCCAGCATCAGTGTCTTCTCCAGGGAGTCTTCTCTTCTCATGAGGTGGCCAAAGTACTGGAGCCTCAGCTTCACGATCTGTCCTTCCAGTGAGCACTCAGGGCTGATTTTCCTTAAGAATGGAGAGGTTTGATCTTCTTGCTGTCCATGGGACTCTCAGGAGTCTTCTCCAGCACCATAATTCAAAAGCATCAATTCTTCGGCGATCAGCCTTCTTTATAGTCCAGCTCTCACTTCCATACATCACTACTGGGAAAACCATGGCTTTAACTATACGGACCTTTGTTGGCAAGGTGACGTCTCTACTTCTCAAGATGCTGTCTAGGCCTGTCTTTGCCCTTCTCCCAAGAAGCAGGCGTCTTTTAATTTGCTGGCTGCTGTCACCATCTGCAGTGATCATGGAGCCCAAGAAAAGTAAAATCTCTCACTGCCTCCATTTAATAAATTGACATCGTTCTTCCGCAATACTCTGAGGAGATGGAGTCTCTGTTGGGCTTTCTTAATCACCTGGGTTGTATTGATCTTCCAAGTAAGGTCTTCAATGAGATAAACTCCTAGGAATTCAAAGGAAGAGACTCTCTCCACACAGCCCTCCCTGATGTACAGTGGAGCTAGTTTTCCTCCCTTCCTCCGAAAGTCCAACACCATCTCCTTTGTCTGGCTGATATTAAGGTGCAAGTTGTTACCTAGGCACCATGTAGATATTAATAATAATATTAATATTAATAGCATAAGAACAACAATAGCTCTGCTGGGTTGGGCCCCTGGCCCATCTGGTCCAGTATATGGTCCTCACAGTGGCCACCCAAATACCTGTGCAGCACTCAAAAGCAGGATCCAACCTCAGGAGCTCTCTCCTCCTGTGGTTTCCAGCAGCTGGGATCCAGAAGCACTTCCGCCTCTGACCATGGAGGCAGGGCATAGCTAGTAGGCGCTGATAGCCCTCTCCTCCAATAATTTTATTTATTATTATTATTATTTATTAAGTTTGTATGCCGCACTTCGTCCCAGATCTCAGGGCAGTTCACAGCATAAAACTACAAGATAAAAAAAAAAACACACACACACACACAAACACATTCAGCCTCATGGATGTCGCCTGAAGATGGTCAACAGCCTGTACGCAGGTTAAACCACAGAGCCTAGGACTTGCCGATCAGAAGGTCGGTGGTTCGAATCCCTGTGACGGGGGGTGAGCTCCACGTGCTCGGTCCCTGCTCCTGCCCAACCTAGCAGCTTCAAAAAGCATCGTCAAGTGCAAGTAGATAAGATAGGTACCGCTTCGGAGGGAAGGTAAACGGCGCTTTTCCGATGCGCTGCTCTGGTTCGACCAGAAGCAGCTTTAGTCATGCTGGCCACATGACCCGGAAGCTGTACGCCAGCTCCCTCGCCAATAAAGCGAGATGAGCGCCGCAACCCCAGAGTCGGTCATGAACTGGACCTAATGGTCAGGGGTTCCCTTTACCTTTACAAGTTCCAGTGTAATGAGAGGAGAAGTGAAGTTTCTCGGTCTAATTTCTCCTCGCCATGCATCATTTTGTAAACTTCAATCCTGTCACCTTGTCTCTCACCTTTTCGCTCAGTTGAGAGTCCCAGGTGCTGCAATCTCTCTTCATAAGGGGGTTTCTGTTTATTAGCCATGATAGCAAATGGAGCCTCCATGTGCATAGGCAGTTTATCTTTGAATACCAGATGGTGGAGACAAACAGCACAGGTGTTCGTAGGGCTTACAATGCTAAGCCAAGGAAGTTCGCAGCAGTCCCATCTTACCCTGGTTAGCAGTCAACACTAAACCATGGCCTGTTCAACCATGGTTTATTAAACCATGGCTTAGTACAGGTACGGGGAACCTTTAGCCTTACAGATTGTGCTGAATTACAACTCCCATCAGCCCCAGCAAGCCAGGGGTGATGGGAGTTGTCGTTCTGGAAGGCCAAAGGTTCCTCACACCTGGTATGGTGGTTTAATAAACTTTGCGGATGGTGTTATCTGCCCAGCAACTTAACTATGGTTTGTTTATTGCTAACAAACTCTGCTCTGAAGCCGTGGTTTGTTGTTGTCTCTCATCTGTCAGACAACTTGTTTTAGCTTGCTGCTTATTAAACAAACTGTGGTTTAAGCAAACCATGGTTTAGTGTTACGTGTATATCAGGACATTATTCAGGAGGGGCACCCAACAAGCTGCTGAAATGCAGATGGCTGAAATCACAGAATTATAAAGATGGAAGGGACACAAAGGGCCATCTAGTCTAACCCCTGGCAACGCTAATGCTTTGAGGGGACGGGAACTTTTCAATTCATTAAACTCCTTGCCAATCAAAGCTGTTGTTTTAACATGATGCTGCATAACCTGTTTTGCTGTAACACCACTCTGGGGACTTTTAATGGCAAAGGGGAGTGTAAGAAACCTTATAAATGAAATAAATTGGACAGGATGCCATGGTTTGTTCCTTTTGAGATTCTGTTTCAGAAATATTTAAGTAAGAGGTGCAAAATAAAACTTGGTTTCCTCTCAGGTCTTTTGTGTTTTTTGCTCTTCCTCGTGTTTCCTCCGCATTTCTCTGCTGCTCCCCGTGGCTTTTCAGAAGATAAAAATAGTGCTGAGATCTGCCCTCCCAGTTTCTAAAAAGTTCTCTGAGCAAGGGGCCGCCTCACTCGCATTATAACTTGAGAATTCATTTGGGGGTCCTGAGTTTACTCCTCAAAGAAAGATATTTTCCCCTGGGCAAATTGGGAGGGTGAGGCATAAGGAATAAACTGTTATATAAATGCAGCCTGGTGTTTTTCAACAACGAAAGTAATCCTGCTAGGATTTCAAGGCGGGACAGCAACAATCCTCTATAAATGCTTCCCGCTTTATAGTGGCGTAGCTCCTAGGTTACAGGAATCCAGTTGGGCTGGAAGTTTAGAAATATTACTGCTGCGAAAGGAAACCATCCAACATCTGATGACTCTTAACGGCAAGACTTAGCTCTCCTTTTCTTTAAACAGCTTTCCGCTGAGTGATGTTTTCCAGCTGCTTCGGACTACAGCTCACACAAGCTGATGGGAACTGTGGTCCAACACAGCTGGAGGCCTAGGATGGGAGAGAA